TGCTACTTATTTTCAATATATTTAACTATCATATTCAAAAACATTCGACTAAATTAGGTATATTATTAAAGGTAATATTTTATAAATATAGCCATTGATTTTACTAATGATAATATTTTTTAAATTATAAGTATCAAGATAACATATTTTTAATACATTAAAGTTAAAAATAACTATTAATTCTTATGTAATATTTATATTTATTTCTTTAATAATAATAATTATTATTTTTTAATTAATAATATTCTCTCTCTTTTCAATTCTACCTAAAGTAGCTTTTTAATAACATATAGAACTAGTTCCTATGCAAGAAGCTCAATAATTACTAGAATAAATAATTTGAAGGTAGAAAACAAAAAATAGTGCATGAAAAGAAGCATTATATGAGAACGTACATATATACTTAACAATCTCGTAAAATTTTAAAAATAAGCATTTCCTTAAATAAATATTATAGAAATATATATTTTTTTCTCCAAGTTCAAGAATATAGTTATTACATATTTGTAGAAGCAAGTTTTGCTGTATAAAGTAATAGGAATAGATAGTAGATTGTAGAATTATCTACACAGAATGAATTGTTTTAGTTCAAAGATGATATTAATATTACATATTTAAATTAGAGTATAATAGAAATTAATATGGATTATAGATTTCTTTTACATAATAATGTATGTATTTTATTTATATATTTAAAATAGAATTAAAATTAAATCAAAGATTTTAAATTCATGGTATAAATTAATTTTTTTTATATAACATGTCAATACATAATTTTAGAGATTTATTCACTAATCACTAAAAGTATGAATTGAACCATAAAACCATCTAATTTATATTCAATTAATTAGAATATTTTTTGAAAACTCATTATTAGTCCTAGCTATTAAAGTTTTTTTAAATAAAATAAAATACTATAAAATAAAAATATTTAATGTATTTGTGATTATATTGCATATAACATGGGATCCATTTGTATGATTTTAGAAAGAAAATTTCAAAATGTAATTTTTCAAATAAAAAATAAATTAATATATTTTAAAAGTATATAAAAATAGATAAATACTTTCAAGTCCATTAAATAATGTACATAATTCCAAGAGCTTTCAATATTCTAAGGAGCCTTTAATACTTTAAGTTGTATCAAGTTCTTACCTTCAATATTTAAAGTGTCATGTGAGATTGCATATCCCAAAAATTCTTCTTAAGTTATGTAAGATACATAATTTTTTTTTGTCTTGATATGTATTCTTGCATTTTTGAGTTATCTACCATAATAAAAAATAATTATAATAATTAATTATTTTTTTAATTCTTAAAATCAATATGAAATTTTTTAAAGATATGACATTTAAATAAGTTTTTTATCTAAATATGTTGTATGAATATGATTTGTTTGAAATAAAAAATAATAATCTAAAAAAATATAAATTTAGTTAGTTATTAAACTTTAATTCATAATCATTCATATAATAATTATCTTTAGATTGAATTTTAAGATACTTATTAAAATTTATTTTTTTATTAAATTTTAAGATAATTAGTAGATAGTTATAAATAAATCAAATTAAATTGAATTTTAAGATAGTCATTTATATAATTGTAAGAAAAAATAATTATAAAAAATTTATAAAAAGAATAAATTGGAATCTAAAAATATATGGATAGAAACTATATATCTTTAAGATCTTAAAGAATTTTATACTATAAAACAATGATAGTTTACATGATAATATAATATCTTTAGCAGATTATTTTTCAAAAAATTCTAAATTACATAAATTCTATTATAACAAGAATATATATATATATATATATATATATATATATATATATATGTGTGTGTGTGTGTGTGTGTGTGTTTGTGTGTGTAAGTGTGTGTGTATGTGTTTTAACTCATTTTTTTAGTTTTATTTTTTGTAAATTTATTCTTTGTTTTGTTGTTGTTTAACTTATTTGATCAAAATTAAATAGTAAGTTTAGGATCTTCACAATATGAATAAAAATCTTATGCCAAAATCAAGACTTTTTTTATATTGTAAAGCTTTAAAATATGAGATTTTAATTTATATATATTATAATTTTAATAGTATATTTTTAGAAGTTATGTTTTTTATATTTACTATCTATAATATTTCTTATATCTAAAGAAATTAAATTTCTCCATAAAACAAGAATATACCAAATTCTAGCCAATATTTCTACAATTTAAATAACATTCTCATATAAACTATGCCAATTTCTAGTGTCTTACAAGACATATTATTTTACTTTGATATATTTCTACTATTATTTAGAATAAGGTATAAAACCAATTCTTTTGGAAACACATATAACATGATTATATAGAATCAAAGTTTAATTTAGCATAATATTTTTCAAATTAGTTCAATATATATTTCTAACTTATTTTTTTCTCCTTCATATGAAAAAAGTATATACATATATATATATATATTAAGTATAGCTAATTTGTCAGTAACATTTTTATGTACAAACTTTTATATTTTTTCTATTTCTTTAGTATTAAATTCTTGTTTATTACATTGTACATCACCTTATGTGCAAGACTTAAAAAAAACATACTAAGAAAACTTAAATTTGTTTATTCTTACTCTGTGTTACTTTTATTTGCAAACTTTTCTTATGTTAACATGTAAAATTCTTATTATGAAATCAAATCTTTTGCCTTCCACTATTGCAACTCAATAAACTCTTTTCTATCAATTTTTTTTATTTTAAAATTTTTATTTAAAATATTTTTTATTATCACATCACCTTAACCATGCTTTACTACAAATCATTAGAAAAAAAAACATTAAAAATCATACACATAAATAAATCAATATACAATATAGTTGTTTTTATTAAGATTTGGAATAACATATACACTTAAATGTGGTTCTACCAAGCGTAGCACTAAAGCTTCTAAAATCCTCAAAGATTAACAAAAGAATATCTTAGGCATATTTCAAATAGGACGTACATAATATTATTTGGAGTGTTGTCTTTTGCTACCTTCCAATAAGAGGGGACTAAAATAATGCCTCTTTTTCTTCAAAAACCTCCATAGAGGTAGTTTGATTGCATGGCAAGAAGATTTGTCATAATACAAGTGTTAAATTAAGCAAAATATAAACTATTTCTAAAACAAGAGATACTAGAATGGCTACAATTAAACACAAACAATTTAAAGGACTTGGATTAAGCTTGAAATACATTTTTTTTTTAAAATTTTTTTATTGATAAGTATGAAAATAACATTAATCTTGCTTCTATACATATAAATAGGCTAACAAGAAGGCCATATGAAAGTTTTTTGAACCACAAGATTTTCAAATCAAGTAGCTACTTGATTCTTAAATAATCAAATATTAGAGTGTTTTATGTTTAGATAAAGAATACAAGCAATCAATCAAAGTTAAAAAAAACTTATAAATTTTATAATAACTATAAATAATAATAAATAGTTATTAACAATAGCTTATCAAAGTCTAAATATATTTAGATAATATATATTATATCATTCTTACATAATTCATCTAAATTGTATGTGTTATTAGATGCTTAAATAAATTATTATAGTTGACATTTTTGCATGAAATTATGACACTATTATATTTTATCCAATTTCAACTAATTATTTAGATTGTTAAAAATAATTATTAATTACACAAGTTATTACATTAATACAATACTAAAATAAATATTTGATTTATAACTACAGATTTAAGTTGCTAATTTTTTCTACAAAGACATTCTAATGATATTAAGCTACAAAATCTACTTATAAGTGGAGCATCAAATTTATAGATTTTTATATTCTTATATGAATCACTTTACACTATTCAAGTCTTTTAAATCATCATAGTAATAAATTACTTAGATTGTAACAATTTTCATTATATTTTTCCATTCTAATTAATATATAAATTTACTTATAATATTTTTGATTAAAATAATATATTAAGAAACTATTTAAATCATAAATTTCTTTTGTGTCATATTTCTAAATAGTAAGTTAAATACTATGACCAATTTTTTTATACCAAATTTCATAAAAATAAAATAAAAATAAAAATATATATATATATATATATTGCACTTATTTATAACTACCTTATTTATGTACTTATTTGCATCAAATAAGTACATAAACATTGACTAGTAGTCTTCTATTGCATTTAAAATCATAGTTGAACATTGACTATATCAAAACTTGAATAGTTTTGCAATAATTGTCGAGTAACTATTTGGCATGTTGGATGCAATTTCATTATCTGCTACATTAAACATGGTCCAATTAGTTCCTCACTATCAAACATGAAAAAACTAAAGCCACTAGAGTTGAAGCCCTGTCTCTACGAAACATGGCCCCAACACTAACTAACTAACTACTCAATCTCCACTAAAAAGGAGGATTGTCTTCTATTTCCATCAAATGGTTAAATTCTCCGTTTAGTTACCACATGTCCTCTATCTACTGGCTACCGTTTCATTTACCAACATCCTCCACCCTCATACTCCGGCTTTGCTGCCGCTAATCGAAAGGGCTTTCCTCCATGATTACTGAAAAAACCAGATTCTAGGTTGCAGCATTTCAAGAACCCGGAAAAGACCAAACCGACCAAACAAACAAACCGTGAAAGAGTCAGGCAATCTACACTCATCTAAGGCAAGAGGCGACGGGCACGAGCCCAGCACGAGGCAGCACTGGGGACAAGCCGAGGAGCCCGTGATCCAAGAGGCAGGTACGCAGCCATCCGCAGCGCCGGGGAAGTCAAGCTAGAGCAGCGGCGTCTCCGTGGCCAGGCGCGTTCGCGGCTGACGAGGCCACGCTTCCTCGGGGTCCCACGGCTTGCTTAGCACGCGCCACCGCGTGCTCCCGCGGCTCCGCCACCACGGCCGTGACGCGACGGGGCCCCATGCCCGCGCCCATGCAGGAGCTGCTGGTTCCATGGGGCATTCCCCCGTCGCTACTTCCCGTGCCGCAGTCGCGCTTGCTCGTGGTGGTCACTGGTGCCCGGTGGTAGCTGAGGGCAGCTTTCTCGACGGGGGTGCGGAACTTAAGTGGCTCGAGGCTTTCGCTTTGACGCTTGCTTTGGCCTTGATCGACAGTTCTGCCGGTAGGTCAATTTTGCGGGTCAGGTTCTGAGTAGTCTGCGGTGAGGAGGTGTTAGCGGGTGTTGCTTGGAAAGGTATTTGTCTTAGTGGTGCTGGACGAGAGCCGAGTGCTTGGAAGTGAAGAGTTGGATAGATTTTTGGAGGTGAGGATGTAGGGGTTGCGTCTAGTATGGTTCTTGAGTGATTTCGATGAGAGCTTAGGATGTCGACAGAGGTTGTAATGATATGTATCTTATTTTTTTTGTAGTTTTTTTTGAAATTTAGTTTGTTTCCGGGAATTGGAATATAGATGATGCGCTCGAGAGTTGTAAGTGTGAGTTAGCTGAGAAACGGGAACTGATTTTCTCTAGGGAGTGGCTTGAACAAGAGAGTTTTAGCTTTCTGGCAAGTAGTGGAATGGTATTTTGATGGCTATGCTCGGAATCTTAGGAACGAGTAATTGGATGTGCGATAGTGTTTTTGAGCAGCAGGGCATGCATCAGTATTTTCTCCCCCAACGGCCTTGCACCGATTCTGGCGTCTTGGCGCAGGTACCATGCAGTCTTAGTATGCTTTTCTAGGTAGAACCGGGCGTGATTTTGGAACACACTTCAATTTTCCGCGTTCAGCGGACCGGCATAACGAACACTATATCTCGGTTGAAGGCAGAGAATATCTTCCTCGTCCGATGGCAAACCCTGAATACAGGTGTCCATCTCGCCTTTCATAAATTCTGTTGCGAGCAATCTCTTCATTAGTTTGGAAATTGCATGGTCGCAAGGCACTTTTAAGTATTTCACTTCTTTAACTGAACTTCATTGCGTTCCAATTCGAGTGTTTGCAAATGAGAGTATTGCATGACCTGAACATTTAGTAGCAGAGGTCGAGTTGCTGGAGAGGAAAACTGTCACTTGATGCCTGCTAGAAAACTCCAGAAAGCTGATCGGGAAAGACTGCGGAGAGATCATTTGAATGAACAGTTTGCCAAACTGGCTGGTGTTCTTGGTGAGATTTACCTTCGCTATGCTTTTTCATTGTTTGTTTTTCAGCAAGTGCAGATATGTAGAAATACAATAAATCTTGCGTGGAGAAGTTAGACACTTATTTCACAAGCCAACGCTCTTTATTCTGTATCAACCGCTAATGAGGTCTACTACACGAAATTGCGATGCTGATTGTGTGGGAGCAGCTCACGAAATATTCTGAATGGGTTGGTGATTTGTGATATCAGATCCAATTCGACCAAAGAATGACAAGGGCACCATCCTTTCTGAAGGCATTCTGGCTTTGAAAGAACTCCGCGCCGAGATTGCTCGCTTGAAAAGTGAGCAGATTGCTCTCAGAGACGAATCGCGCGATGTGAGTTCCTTTAAAATAAATTAAAAATTGTTCTATTGATATCGAGAAGTTTTAATGTGAAGTAGGGTACTCATTTCACGATTAGTTGTGCTTTAGTGTGGATATAAAAAAGGAGATATTTGAACATAAAATGGCCGGGTAGTTTGTATCAGATAGCATGTTCTTTGCAACTATTAGAAAATACCGGCTTTTTTGCCAAGTATAGATTTTATACACATTCGTTACTAGTATATTGCCGCTAGTCATCACCTTAGGTGCGACTGGAGGAATGCAACTTGTTTCCTTTCAATGAGTGAACAATATGCACGTGTGCAGTTGACCGTGGAACGATGTGAGTTGCAAGAGGAGAAAACGCTTCTTGAGACTGAGACAGAGCGATTGGAAGACCTGCGGAAACAAAACTCGGAAAACCTAAGCGCATTGGCAGGATGGAAAATGGACCATCCCGGCGTTTTGACAAGCTCCCAATATCCCTGCCCATTACCAGTGTCTTCGATGACGAAATCCTCTCCACCTTCAAAGGATATTCATCAAGACCCCAGTTCTGATCAAACTCATCACGCACCTGATTCATCTTTCCTCCCTGCTGCACCATTCAGCACGTTCTTGCATCCTGCGTACCAAACTTATGGCGTGTTTGGTTCTAGAAAATCACCCTTCATGTCGTACAATCACTACTCACATCCAGGACATACTACCCATGTTGAAAGGCCGGCTGCAAGATACCCTGCTCCGATCCATCCTACTCCGATTTATCCTGTGAAGGGAGCTCAAACTAAGTCTACAGAACCATCGGTTGTGGCCACAGAGTTGCAGCTACAAACACCAGGATTGCCACCTTCACCAACGCATCAGCAGTCTCTATCTGGAAATGAACAGCGCGAGAAAAGGGTGGTGAGATCTCTTATCTCCACTAACGCCTAGCTATGCAACTAACTTATTATATGTATGATGAGGGCTACTAAGCCCACGATCTGAGCATGATGCATTCTGAACATGATTAGGCCTGTGCAACTCAGGATCGAGCTCTGGATGTGCTAAGAGATTCGGGGATAGATGGAACAAAGGCTGCTTCCTGTAACGATAATTTCGCCCCCCAACTTTCACTCTCTTCAAATGCCTTAGCATTACAGGTCGTTCAGTCGGTGTAAGATTGAGGTACGTGTTGCTTTTAATCAGATCGGTCTAAAGAAAGCAATTCATTTACACTGTAGGCTTCGTAGATGCCATGCCACCTACACGAACGATTGGCACCTATTGCAGAATGGTTCACTTTTTTACAGGGTTCATTTTTGAGCTATTTGCTGCTGCCGCTAACTCAGTGACCTTTGCTGTGTTATCAGGACCAAGGGTTGAAGCATGCAAATTATATTTTGCAAAGTCATGTTGGCCCCTCGTGCACTTGGTCAAATCGTTGACCGTTTGCACTTGATGATTTCCGTGAAGTGCCCATGCCACCCAAACTGTCCGCGGATTGTTTGTGCTGAGGTATACCTAACACGGTTCTTGTCCCTCGACCTCACAACCAGATCGGTCATTCATTCTAAGTGGAGCTGTTTAGAGCGGATCTTGACACAAATCGGTCAAGGCTGTGATCAATCTGATAGTTAGGTGACCAGATCTTCACCTGTAAACTACAACAAATATGTTTCCGACCTTGAAGCAGTTCAGTAGACAATGTCGATGAATTGTCTTGTGCAAATGAATCACGTGTTCTGAAGGTCGAAGGAACGTGTTAATGTTTCCAAGGTAAATTTATGAGGTTCTCTTCTTTTGCAGCTTAATTCCCAAGTTGATAATGAACTATGCAATTGGAAGTGAAGTTTTTTTTTTTTTTTTTTTTTTTTTTTTTTAAATTTAAAATTTTTTCCTCCATCCAATTTTCCTTCAAGTTCGAAGCCTATCCCTTGTGCAATTTTTTTGTTCGCTTCTTGTTCTACACATCTATTGAGATAACTTTTCAATAATTGATAGACTTCAAAAATTTCAGAACATTGCAACATCGTAGAAGAGTACAATGATAACAACAATATGTTCAAAAGGTAAATTTTAACATGAAGTAGTGAAATATAGTGATTAATTAAAGCATTATGTGTATGGTAAGTATAAAAACGAGGGATGAAACGATGAGTTTGGCTCCATGAATATATATTTTGTATTCGTTTATTTTTACTATATGCATTTTCTCACTTCAATATTGACTCACAATATATTTTATATCTTGAAATCAAATAATATAACTTTATTATGAAATCCTTAAAATATATGAGTTGTGATTTAAAAATAAGATCTCTGAATTTGAAGGCTATTGTCTGATTTCTTTTCTTCCTTCGTTATAGATATTGGCAACGTATATTAGCCATGCACATTTGAAAAAAATGATTCGATTTTTTGCAGAAGGATTAAAAAAATTGAAATATCTTGTTATCATAATTGGGAATAAAATAAATGTAAATGAATAATTTAAATATCATTCTGATAATTGAGAGGAAAATGGTTTCACAATGTTCTAATTATTGGTACAACTCACACAGAGTGGTTACAAGAATCAATTCTCACTTACATATTATTTTCTATAAATTTGTGCATTGGGATGTTTCTTGTATTTATCAACTTGACATTATCTAAAACTTGTAGTGAAATAAATCTAAAAAATAAGAATGGGCAGTAAAAGTAAATTCAACAACAGAAACCTTTCAATACCCATAAACTCAATTTTTTTAACTGTGTATCAAAAATATAATAAATGTTATATCTTAATATATTCTCTATTGTTACCAATTTTACTTTAAAATTTGAAATTTCCAATTAAGATTCACTTGGGAAGTTTTTTTAAATTATGTAAATATAAAAAATAAACATGAGTATGTATAAACATAACTATTGTATAGGATTTTATTTACATTCAATATATACATATTTCAACTTTTGTAAAAAGAGCTTAAAATAAAACTATAGTGGTTCTAAGAAGTTTTTTTAATTTTATTATTGGTGTATACATCTTTAATTATTGAAATATATATATATATATATATATATATATATATATATTAAGAATAATTAAACCATATATATAAAAATAAAAAATAAAAATCATCACTCTATTTTGACTACAAAAATGTTGACACGATTAAAAATATTATTGTGTTTTTTACCCCTAAAAATTACTTATGAATATTTTAAATTTTTACTTTTACTATTGCCACCAAGGGATGTTACTGCTGCCACCCCAACTTTGCTACTGCCACCACAAACCTGAACAGCACTACAAATGCATGCAAAGAAAGACAGGATCATCCCAACCACGAGCACAAGCGTTGTCGGCACGATGTGGACTCCATCACTTGGGACTTGTGCTGAGGCAGAACTGGACGACTGCGCAATCGCCAACACAGCCACGCTCAACACGGCTGCAACAATTGTCACTGCGGACTTCAACATTGTGGACGCCATCTCCCTGACTCTATTGAAGCAAGGCAGAAACCAGGTTACGAGTGTGATCTCCCGACATTCTCAAATGTTCTTTCGACGACTCACAATCGCAAAATTTACAAGTTAGTGTATGCAGACTTGATTGAGTATCAGTCGGCAAGTGCTGGAGTTAGTAGGTAAGAATGAAAGCACAAGAACTTCTCCGCTCTCTTCATCTCATACGAGATCATGAAAGAAATGTAGCCTGTAACCAATTCTGCGCGATGAAATACCCCATGCCGTGACAATTGCTATTTTAAATTGAACCCAGCTCACAGAGTTAACGTCTCCGTGGAAGGGTGTCAGAACTAATTGAGAACGACAGAATGCAACGACGCCATGGCAGGGGACTCTCTATTTGGGGGTGGAAAAATCGTGAACAAGGGATTTCTTCTCCGGTGGGTGAGTTCAATCAACTTCTGGATACACCTTAAACCTTGGTGATAACCCTAAACCTGGGACTGGGGTTCAAGAATAAAATTTTCAACCAGAAGATTTTTGGATTTAAGGTGACTTGTGGTAGTATTAGCAAAAACCATGGTAGCATGTGGTAAATGGTAAGTTGTGGTGGCAATATCAAAAATTGGAGTAGTAACAGCAAAACTATAAAATATGTATTTAATTTTTTAATTATAGTGGTTATTGTATTTTACCTCTAAGATTTTTTCATTTGGTTTATAAAACACAATTAAGTTCTTTGAAAAATGAGTTATATTAAAAAAAAAAAAAAAAATTTACCACGTTGGATATTCAAAAGTCTCATTTAATTTTCTTTTCAAAATTGAAATCTATTATTTGTTTTGGCATTTATGATTTATTCTATCTCTTGAAAAGAATAGACTCACGTTCTAAGTATTTTGCAAGTTTCTTCATGACAAATTTCCAACTATTTTTTTTTATTTAATAAGTCCTTTTTAAATCAAGCATCTAGTTTTGAATTTATTCTATATATTATTTTTAAATACAATTTTTTGTTTCTAAATATAGATGGTCTATAAACAAAGACCAAATCTTATAAAAATATTTAAATCTAGATAGAAAATTCTTAGTAAAAATGGCTTGTTTTCAAATGAAATATTTCCACCAATCTAATTTTCAAGAATTTGATATCAATTTTCTATAAAAGATAGGTGGTTTAGTTTCAAATATTACAAGCTTCATGACATACTTAGAACCTATAGAGAATAAATTTTGGCTTTTAGAGATGACACAACTTATAATAAATATTAAAACAAAGGTTGATTTTTTTTCTCCAAGTATTGATTGCCGCATCTTTGTGTCATATAAGCCAAATAAATACCTCCTTATAAGAATGAAGATTGGACCAAATATCATTGTATTTAAACAAGAAGTCTTCATTTAAAAGTAAATTCCACTTGTATATCACAAAGTTGGTAGAAAGAGCATTGCTTTGAAGTAGCTTCTTAGTAAGTTTGGTAGAGAATGTCATAAGTTCTTCACTAGTAACCTAAAAATGTGAAGGAGGATCAAAGGCCAATTTGTTATACAAACCATAGAAGAAATTAATATCTAATGCTTCTTTTCTTATTGTCTTGGATTTTTGAACAATTTAATAATTTTCAAAAATTATGTTACTTGATTCTTATTGTCTATTGGATTTTGGTTGTGATACACTAAAAAACGATTTTCATCAAAATAAAGATTTATAGATTGAATTCCAATCTAGATTTTATTTTTTATTTTTTATTTTTATTTTTATAGATCAAAGTAAGACAAACTATTTATTTGCTTCAATTCTATTGCATTAGATAGAAAGTTGAAATACCACTTCTAATAAATAATCTATCACCAAGTTACATAATACAATCCATTCTTAGAATTTTTGCAAAGCATTATCATTGTATAATATGTATTTCTAAAAACTAAGAAAAAAAATATAGAAGAAATCTTAAATAGGACTATAAACGAGTGGAATTTTATATGTAAAAATTACTTTATTCAATATTAGAAGAATCAATGGTGTTTTAAAAATATTTTTAATACAAAAAAAATAATTTTAATATAAGATTCCTACTTGATGAAAAGTTAAATAAGTATCAATTAAAAGAAACTAAAGATCCCATCATAAAAATCAATTCTAAACATTGTAAAAATGTATTGGATAATCAAGCTAAAAGAACTTATACATTTATGTCTACACTTTTTAATTTTTGTTTTGTATTTAAAATTTAAAATTTTATTTGTGATTAGAGGTGAGTGACCAAACAAACTTTGGTACCTTTAGTATACATGTGGATTAGGCTTTCCAAGTGTTTGTAGGAGTTTATTAAGTTGAAAACTTGGCCAATAAGTTGGCCATGTATTGCACAAGTTGACCACTTGCTTTACAAGTTGGCCACATATTGTACATGTTGGTAACTTTTTGTACAATTTGGCTATATAACGTACATATTAGAAACTTATTTTGCAAGTTAGATACATGTTTCATAAGTAGGGCACATATTAGATAATCTATAGAATGTTGCCACATAGGTCTTTAATTAGATAGTATATGTGGAGGCAAGAATGAGGCCTTTTTCACTCTTGTCAATATTTTTTTTGTAATATTTTTTTAGTTTAGGAATCTCTATTCTTTTTATTTGGCAATAGTTATTTTAATTACTATCTTATATTTATCTTTGATTTGTCTATTCTTTTTTTTTTAGTGCTATTAAAGTGTATTACTTCTTTAGAGTTTTTATATGATTCGTGCTCTTAATACATAGCCATATATTTCTATAGATTTAAATATAAATCTTCTAATTTTAAGCTCTTATAATTATATATTTATAAAATTAGTTTTTTAAAATTAAAATGACATATTTTGTACTAAATACAAGAATTATCACATGTCAAGAAAAAATTAGGTCTATTTTATAACATTTGTTATTATTTTGGACTACCAAAAGATATTATGTTAGAAATAGAGACTTAATTTATAATTAAATTCTAAATAAATACTTTTAAGATATTAAAGGTTAAATTAAAAATATTATTTTTTTATCTTGAAATTAATAGTCTAATAAAACAAGTAAATTAAGTGTTGAAGTAGTATTTTCAATATACCATCAAATGCTATCAAGATAATTAAAAAAATCTTTTACTATTAGTAAATTTTTCTAATAATAGTATAATATATTCTTCTATTAGAAAATTACCATTCTATACTAAATACGATTATTATCTATAATTTATTGCATTTGATTTTTTAAAAGTAGATAATCCTATAATAAAAGATTTAGCAAATTATGTATCAATACTACATATAATTATGAAGGTATAATTAAAGGAAGCTCAACAACAAAAAAATCTC